ATTATCTATGCATAGTCACTTTAACTCTACCTACATGTACATATTACCTCAGTTACCTCGACTAACCTGTGCCCCCGCACATTGACTCTGTACCGGTACCCCATGTATATAGCCTCCCTACTGTTATTTCACTGCTGCTCTTTAATTATTTTTTACTTATCTATTTTTTCCTAAACACTTATTTTTCTTAGAACTGCATTATTGGTTAAGGGCTTGTAAGTAAGCATATCACTGTAAGGTCTACACCTGTTGTATTCGGCGCACGTGACAAATAAGATTTGTTTTGATTTGATTTTGACCTGTTGTAGTGTGGAGCAGAGTGACTGTCTGACCTGTTGTAGTGTGGAGCAGAGTGACTGTCTGTCCTGTTGTAGTGTGGAGCAGAGTGACTGTCTGTCCTGTGTAGTGTGGAGCAGAGTGACTGTCTGTCTGTTGTAGTGTGGAGCAGAGTGACTGTCTGTCCTGTTGTAGTGTGGAGCAGAGTGACTGTCTGTCCTGTTGTAGTGTGGAGCAGAGTGACTGTCTGTCCTGTTGTAGTGTGGAGCAGAGTGACTGTCTGACCTGTTGTAGTGTGGAGCAGAGTGACTGTCTGACCTGTTGTAGTGTGGAGCAGAGTGACTGTCTGTCCTGTTGTAGTGTGGAGCAGAGTGACTGTCTGTCCTGTTGTAGTGTGGAGCAGAGTGACTGTCTGTCCTGTTGTAGTGTGGAGCAGAGTGACTGTCTGTCCTGTTGTAGTGTGGAGCAGAGTGACTGTCTGTCCTGTTATAGTGTGGAGCAGAGTGACTGTCTGTCCTGTTGTAGTGTGGAGCAGAGTGACTGTCTGTCCTGTTGTAGTGTGGAGCAGAGTGACTGTCTGTCCTGTTGTAGTGTGGAGCAGAGTGACTGTCTGTCCTGTTGTAGTGTGGAGCAGAGTGACTGTCTGTCCTGTTGTAGTGTGGAGCAGAGTGACTGTCTGTCCTGTTGTAGTGTGGAGCAGAGTGACTGTCTGTCCTGTTGTAGTGTGGAGCAGAGTGACTGTCTGTCCTGTTGTAGTGTGGAGCAGAGTGACTGTCTGTCCTGTTGTAGTGTGGAGCAGAGTGACTGTCTGTCCTGTTGTAGTGTGGAGCAGAGTGACTGTCTGTCCTGTTGTAGTGTGGAGCAGAGTGACTGTCTGTCCTGTTATAGTGTGGAGCAGAGTGACTGTCTGTCCTGTTGTAGTGTGGAGCAGAGTGACTGTCTGTCCTGTTGTAGTGTGGAGCAGAGTGACTGTCTGTCCTGTTGTAGTGTGGAGCAGAGTGACTGTCTGTCCTGTTGTAGTGTGGAGCAGAGTGACTGTCTGTCCTGTTGTAGTGTGGAGCAGAGTGACTGTCTGTCCTGTTGTAGTGTGGAGCAGAGTGACTGTCTGTCCTGTTGTAGTGTGGAGCAGAGTGACTGTCTGTCCTGTTGTAGTGTGGAGCAGAGTGACTGTCTGTCCTGTTGTAGTGTGGAGCAGAGTGACTGTCTGTCCTGTTGTAGTGTGGAGCAGAGTGACTGTCTGTCCTGTTGTAGTGTGGAGCAGAGTGACTGTCTGTCCTGTTGTAGTGTGGAGCAGAGTGACTGTCTGACCTGTTGTAGTGTGGAGCAGAGTGACTGCGCTGCATCGTCCTCTGCCTGCCCATTTGAGGATCTATGACTTTTAACTCCATGAGAAAATATCTATAGGTTCCTCCGCCTAATTTTATTAAGGGATTTCTTTCTGTTTGGACAGAAAATACTCTGAGAGCATAAGTAGACTTAGCTGTCACTTCTCTCCCTTTGCAATTCCCTCCAATATGTTGTATTTTACATCTCTCTGCTTGGTAGAGTGAGGGATAACTTCTTGCTGGTAATTGAATTTAGGCAACAACAAAAAATTATCTGAAAAAGAAGAAGAGCCATAGGATAACTGCTTGTGAAAGAGCTGAGTTCGTACATAGGTGGTCCCCAAACTCTGCAAGTTTACATTAGTACCACTTAAAGACAAGAGCAGCTCGACTCACTCAAATACAGATGTTTTTGGTCGGTATTCCATCCCCCGACAGACAGGGAGGCTGGCAGACAGGTAGGCAGGCGCAGGCTGGCAGACAAACAGACAGACAGACAGACAGACAGTCTCAAACCCTGTTTAGCCACCTGTGTCCCTCTCCCTCTGTCCCCTTGTCTTTAGCTCCTGTCATTAGACTGTGTCTGGTAGCCCAGACAAACCCAACACCTCTGTTCAGACCAAGCTACAGTGAGGGAAAAAAGTATTTGATCCCCTGCTGATTTTGTACGTTTGCCCACTGACAAAGAAATGATCAGTCTATAATTTTAATGGTAGGTTTATTTGAACAGTGAGAGACAGAATAACAACAAAAAAATCCAGAAAAACGCATGTCAAAAATGTTATAAATTGATTTGCATTTTAATAAGGGAAATAAGTATTTGACCCCCTCTCAATCAGAAAGATTTCTGGCTCCCAGGTGTCTTTTATACAGGTAACGAGCTGAGATTAGGAGCACACTCTTAAAGGGAGTGCTCCTAATCTCAGCTTGTTACCTGTATAAAAGACACCTGTCCACAGAAGCAATCAATCAATCAGATTCCAAACTCTCCACCATGGCCAAGACCAAAGAGCTCTCCAAGGATGTCAGGGACAAGATTGTAGACCTACACAAGGCTGGAATGGGCTACAAGACCATCGCCAAGCAGCTTGGTGAGAAGGTGACAACAGTTGGTGCGATTATTCGCAAATGGAAGAAACACAAAATAACTGTCAATCTCCCTCGACCTGGGCTCCATGCAAGATCTCACCTCGTGGAGTTGCAATGATCATGAAAACGGTGAGGAATCGGCCCAGAACTACACGGGAGGATATTGTCATGATCTCAAGGCAGCTGGGACCATAGTCACCAAGAAAACAATTGGTAACACACTACGCCGTGAAGGACTGAAATCCTGCAGCGCCCGCAAGGTCCCCATGCTCAAGAAAGCACATATACAGGGCCGTCTGAAGTTTGCCAATGAACATCTGAATGATTCAGAGGAGAACTGGGTGAAAGTGTTGTGGTCAGATGAGACCAAAATCGAGCTCTTTGGCATCAACTCAACTCGCCGTGTTTGGAGGAGGAGGAATGCTGCCTATGACCCCAAGAACACCATCCCCACCATCAAACATGAAGGTGGAAACATTATGCTTTGGGGGTGTTTTTCTGCTAAGGGGACAGGACAACTTCACCGCATCAAAGGGACGATGGACGGCGCCATGTACCGTCAAATCTTGGGTGAGAACCTCCTTCCCTCAGCCAGGGCATTGAAAATGGGTTGTGGATGGGTATTCCAGCATGACAATTACCCAAAACACATGGCCAAGGCAACAAAGGAGTGGCTCAAGAAGAAGCACATTAAGGTCCTGGAGTGGCCTAGCCAGTCTCCAGACCTTTAATCCCATAGAAAATCTGTGGAGGGAGCTGAAGGTTCGAGTTGTCAAACGTCAGGCTCGAAACATTAATCACTTGGAGACGATCTGGAAAGAGGAGTGGGACAAAATCCCTCCTGAGATGTGTGCAAACCTGGTGGCCAACTACAAGAAACGTCTGACCTCTGTGATTGCCAACAAGGGTTTTGCCACCAAGTACTAAGTCATGTTTTGCAGAGGGGTCAAATACTTATTTCCCATATTAAAATGCAAATCAATTTATAACATTTTTGACATGTGTTTTTCTGGATTTTTTTGTTGTTATTCTGTCTCTCACTGTTCAAATAAACCTACCATTAAAATTATAGACTGATCATGTCTTTGTCAGTGGGCAAACATACAAAGTCAGCAGGGGATCAAATACTTTTTCCCCTCACTGTAGCTATCTCCAGGTGTACATCACTGTAAAGTTGGTTCAGGAATGTCAAGAATGTTTTTTTAAATTGACTCCTACTGCACGTGCGAGTATCCGATGTACGTATGGGCACAATGATGTATTGGTCCTGGTACGCACACACTAACACACATGCACATGCCTGCACAGACACAAACACACACAGCGCCTTAATGCAGGTACGGCAGCAGTTAGACACTTGTATAGTATCTAAAACATTATTATCTAGCATGCTGTATGCTATGGCAGAGTAAACTAGTGTTAATGTACGAAAGACTTTACCCTTGTCTGAACTACAAATACTGTGGGAGCACAGGAAAAGAGAAGGAGGGATGGGAGGTGTAGTGGGAGGGTGAGAGAACTAATGAACCTATAGGAGGAGTGAAAGAGAAGGAAAGATGAAGGGATGAGAGGAAGTGGAAAAGTGAGAAGGATGGATGGTGATAGAGAAGGATAATTATAAGAAGGGAGGAAACATCGTTAGCTAAGGTCCATCCGTTTTCTGATGTTGATAAGAATGCACAGAGTAGATAAAATAAATGTCAGGAATTTCATTTATACACACAGACTGTACCCACCCAGATCCCAAAACATTTTACATATTGTGGGAGCAGTTGTGATGATTATGTTTCAAGTTTATCTAGAGCTGTCCATCTGAGGATTATGAAGTACTTTACCATTTAAGAGAGTAACTTACCTCATTCTCCGCTAATGTGGAGTATCTACAAGAATACTGGGCGCCGCCATTCTACAGTATGTGGGAGCACCCTCTTAACATACAGTAAGAATGCTAAGTACTCTAGCAACCCCATGTGTGGTATCTATATTTTGTCAAAGAGGCCTTTCAGTTTCAGTGTGTAGCTGCACAGTAGCACCACCGTGTTGAAACAGAGCAGACATTTTGTGTCAAAGCATGGGAGAGCATGACGCAACTGTTATAGTAGTTATAGATAGTTATAGGGTGCGAGATAATCTATTCAGATTGTCCAGTTGTGTTAAAGTTATTTCAATATACCTAAGTATATAAACAAAATAGCAACCACAGACACTAACATGCATGCACCCAAACATACATAGGGTCATGCAGGCGTGCCGTGGGAACTTGTGGTCTGAAAGCGGCTGTTGTGTGGTGGTAGTGAAGTGTTGACTGATATGAAAGGGGAGCAGTCTTCAGGCCAATCCACACAGGGACAGGGCCGTCTCCTTTATGACCTGCCTGCCTGGGCCCTGCCTGCCTGCCTGGGTCCTGCCTGGGCCCTGCCTGCCTGCATCCTGCCTGGGCACTGCCTGCCTGGGCCCTGCCTGCCTGGGCCCTGCTTGCCTGGGTCCTGCCTTCCTGCCAGGGTCCTGCCTGTCTGCCTGTGTCTTGCCTGCCTAGGTCCTGCCTGCCTGCCTAGGTCTTGCCTGCCTGGGTCCTGCCTGCCGCGGCCCTATTTGTTGATTCTTGGGCCCCAAAATCATTAATTAAAGTGCAGACGACGGCACGGTAACCTGAGAAAAGCCTCACACACACATATGAGGCACACGCTAACACACACACACAGCACTCCCTGTCGCATAACAAATGATGGCACTTGGTTTAATTGCTGAGGCTGTTTATTTATTTACGTCTGTAATGGATGGTGGTCCTCGGCCCGGCAGCCAATCAGCAGCCAGAAAGAGGGAGACAGGAAGAGAACCAGAAGCCCTGCAGACCTGAACAAATTCCACAGGATTCTGCAGTCTTCATTTCACCCTCTCTACATGGTCCGCCTTTCAGTCTAGCTTTAACTCTTTCTCTCTTTCAGTCTAGCTTGAACTCTTTCTCTCTTTCAGTCTAGCTTGAACTCTTTCTCTCTTTCTTGTCTGTTCTCTCCCCCTCTCTTCTTACTCTCCTAGTTGTGTTCTCCTTTCTGGCCTTTCCTGAGTGACTGATGGGATCGCCATCCTTGATTGGTGGTTATTTTGAGAACTGTTTGCTCAGCCAATGGGATGGCCCTGGACTTACAGATGTAGGATCTTAATTTGAGCTGGTTTGCTATAGCAGGAAAAGAATCCTTCAGCTAGAGGAAATGTGAATTATTTTATGGATTATAATTAATGGACATTTTTGTAGGGGTTAATTCATTTTTCGTAAGGGAAAATCAAGTCTGAAATTTCAAAGTGGAAATTACAAACTTCAGAACCCTTTGTAAACCTAAAATACACTACAAGCTGTTTTTGCATTGCAGGAACGTTCTCCTGTAACAGGTGATCAAATTAAGATCCTACATCTGTATATGGCATACATCAATGTTTTTTAAACTCAACCCACAAATGAGACACTGGACTTGATTTTGTTGCTGGCTGGCTGCTCAACAAAGACCTAAGTAACAGACACATTCCGATTTAGTTTGTTACAAATGAGCACTCGATGTTTGGGTCTGTGCCAAATACGTTTAACGCATTCTTAAGGAGATCTCGAGACTTGCCAGACTGTTAGAGGGACAAAACAGTCATGCTATAACTAAGAAAAAAACCAAACACGCTTGTATGGAAGGAACCGTTTGAGTTGATTTCTCCATCACTGGCTGATGTCTGTTTATGCTGCTCTGGTAGGTTGATGTGACGTGGTGCCTGTTACGAAGCACTGGGGAGTTGGCTGAGGTTTCCTTTAATCCACATAACAAGCTCTGATGAAACACCCTTCTTCATGTGCATGCGTGTTTTCTAAAGTGTTTGTTCCCCTCTCACACTGATGCCTGTTCTGTCTATGTCTCCCTACAGCTGCTGGTGAGCCGGGCCTTGAACCAAACACACACTCCTGTTCATGCTGGTGGAGCAGCTCTACTGATCCAGGGGCCAGACTGACTGCAGCAGAGTCCCAGGATCCTGCCCACCTGCCCTGGTTGAAGACAATTCTTTACCCGCCTTCCGTTGCAGAGATGCTCTCTTTCCTCCCAGTGTTTGACAATCAGAGAGCAGAAACTCGTAAAGTCCCACGAGCTCCGAGGCACAATTGGACATGTAATCCTGACTGTTATACACTGAGGAACTATGGCTTTAACTCTCCAACTGTCAACCAATCATCTCACTGCCCCTGCCAGGTTCACTGACCGGCTGATCAATCCTAGACAACAAACTAGTCAGCCTAAAAACCAGAAGGACCAATCAGGAAGGACCATTGAGAGTGACCAAACATACTTTTTTTTGTGTGTTATTTTTTAAGATAGTTTGTGAGCCCTTGAAAGTCTATGGGAGAGAGCAAATCCTGATGTGGGTTTGTTTACGTAGCCACATACGGATAGCATTAGCATGGTCCACAGCATGGACCTCAGATCCACATGGACCTTCTCAATGTACTGTGCCAAAGGAACCACTCCCTGTCAGCAGAGAGACACTGAGAGGGGAACCGGGTTCCAATTACTCTAGAACCCTCAAAGAGAACCCAGAGAAGTGTTCTGTGTAGGCTACCTTTCTCTGAATGTTCTTAAGTCTGGAAACACTCCTGTCATCCTATCACTGGACAGCTCTCTTGGTTGACAGTGCTCTAGGTAGTCGATGTCCATAGGAACTGATCTAGGATTAGTGCCCTTTCTAAATCCTAACCTTAACTATCAAGTGGGAAAACAAAACTGACCTCAGACCAGTGTCTAGGGGCAACTTCGTCCCTCTCCGAGTGGAGGGTATAAACTGTGAACAAACAAAACCCTCTGAGGAAATCAAACTATTATATGTTTATAGTTTTTTTTATTTTCTCTTGTGTTTTTTTCTCTCCCTGCTGTACTTTGTTTGACTAACGAGTATCATGTTGTGTTTGTTTTTCTACATCTGAAACAGATTGAGTACTGTTCTCTTTGAGGTTTGTATCAGTTGTGTGTTTCTGCTTGTGGGTGTTGTTTTATTTAGTAGTTTATTTATTGAGTAGTTTAATTGCATCATGCATTGGACTGGCTGTTTTAGGTATCCATATTGAAGTCAGCACTCCCCAATCTCCATTTTGGAATCAGAGATTGAGGAGTGCTGCTTCAAGGGACCGTCATCTCAAAGAGTTGTCTATACATATCAGTTTACCAGTGAGGATGTCGTGGTGTTTGAAGGTGACATGATGCATCATGATCTCCGTTCTCCTGAACCAGCAGTAAGTGTTTAGCTTGTACGGTTTTCTGTGTGTGTGTTTAGCTTGTGCAGTTTTCTCTCTCTCTCTCTCTCTCTCTCTCTCTCTCTCTGTGTGTGTGTGTGTGTGTGTGTGTGTGTGTGTGTGTGTGTGTGTGTGTGTGTGTGTGTGTGTGTGTGTGTGTGTGTGTGTGTGTGTGTGTGTGTGTGTGTGTGTGTGAGTAAGCGTGTGTGTGTGTGTGTGTGTGTGTGTGTGTGTGTGTGTGTGTGTGTGTGTGTGTGTGTGTGTGTGTGTGTGTGTGTGTGTGTGTGTGTGTGTGTGTGTGTGTGAGTTAGTGTGTGTGAGTAAGCGTGTGTGAGTAAGCGTGTGTATTTGTGTGTGTGTGAACAGCGCGAGGTCTCAATATGCCCAAACTCTGCTATTGACTTGTTCTACAGTGTGTTGCCATGGTAAATATGTTTCTCGTTCAATAAAAGTGTGGCGTTTTTCTCAACTGTCTGGAGAATGTATCTCTATCAGAAAATCACAAACATAATTGAAAATGGATGTTATCAATAGTTCTGTTTAGTATTAATTATCAGTGGATCTTTTGAAATCATCAATCTTTCTGAGATTGAAACAATGGAATGTGCTTTTGTTCCTCTATTTCATGGTCTCCCTAAACCCATCTCTCTCTCTCTCTCTCTCTCTCTCTCTCTCTCTCTCTCTCTCTCTCTCTCTCTCTCTCGCTCTCTCCCTCTCGCTCTCTCTCTCGCTCTCTCTCTCTCTCTCTTCTCTCTCTCTCTCTCTCTCTCTCTCTCTCTCTCTCTCTCTCTCTCTCTCGCTCGCTCGCTCGCTCGCTCTCTCTCTCTCTCTCTCTCTCTCTCTCTCTCATAGACTCAGACAGATGTTGTCCAGCTTTCCTCCTGGGGGAAAGGGGGCGGGAGTGGTGGTGATTAAAGGGGGGGTTCAGTTACGTGGTTGGGCTTGTTTTAGGACCACTGTAACCTAACGTAGCAGGCGTAAAATAAATGCCTGAAACTGGATCCCTACATACTGGTCTTGACGAGAATAATAAAAAAATGTTGGGGAAGGTTCTCTTCTGCACTGTTCAACCAATCCAGTAAATGTGGAGGAGGAGTTAAGATTGAGTATCGCCTTGTTAACGTCCAAAAGTGGAAGTCACGTCACAGGCTCTCTTTCCATTTCCCCTGAAAACCAGAGCATCCGGTTGTTCGGGGACTCGGCAGAGGCTACTACCACTGTAACCCAATCACAGCCCATCCAACCCCTGCCTTAATAATTATGCTTACTGCTGCACACAAGCTAGCTAGCAGCAATGGAGCATGGACTCAGCACTGTCTACAGCTATGGGCACTAGTAGGCAGGCAATGGCTTGAGGTTACTGTACAGTGTACACACAGGTGTCTCCCTCTCTCTCTCTCGCCCTCCCTCTCCCTCTCCCCCTCTCTCTCTCTCTCTCTCTCTCTCTCCCTCTCCCTCTCTCTCTCTTTCTCCCTCTCTCTCCCTCCCTCTCCCCTCTCTCTCTCTTTCTCACCTTCTTCCCCTGATGGATGATGACAGTGCCACAATGTAAACTTCTCCTTCATTTTCTGCTTACGGACAACAGCTTGCCCTCTCCCTCTTCATGATACAGTGACTATCTGGTGCGATCTCATGGCACCTCTGTGGTACACACAGACACAACAATAAGGATTCAAAGGGTAAACTCACTCATCTCTCCGATCACAAAAAAGCACTGCAGAGGCAGGCCTTTCAAAGATTGGCAGGCACTATGAATGTGAGCGTGACATCGGAACACACACACACACAGTTTGAACAAGTCTTTATTTGGGCAGGCAGCCAGGCATTCAGGTGACTAAGCAGAAAGTATATGTTTTGTTAGCATTTGGGAGTTATTCTTTTTCTAACAATCATTTGACTGATTTGTTTTATTTCCTCTCAAATCCACTGGAATCCAAATAGATTTGAACCAGATCTGTGATTGGTGGAAATATTTTATAAACCAATTAATGATGGTTAGCTTCCCCAGCCTTCTCTCTCTCTCCTGAGAAAAAAATGTGTGGAGCTTGTAGTCTGAAAGTCTGTTAAACAATAATGACACAGAAACCCGGAACACTTCGCCATCATACCTCCAACTTGTTCACATCCAGTGTTCTGCGATAACGTCTATGTTCGGCGATAAAATAATAGTTATTCTAATGACCATAATGCTTATGCATACAGTCCTGCGCATGATGAGAGCACTCTGTATAAGCAAACAGTGTCGGACTGCTTGTCTTGGTTTTTACTGGGCGGTAACTTGATCCCCTGCGTCTGAAAATCCTAACTCGGCTCTGGCACGGATAGGCTAATAGCCCCGGGTGCTTTATACGTTTATTTTAGGTAATAGAGACGCTTGTTTTGTTACAGCCCGTTCCGCCCTTTTTTTTATTTATTTTTATTTTTACAATTTCACCTAGACGCAAATTGCGAGTCTTTCCCACTTGGCCCGCATTCTTTGCCCTCGAAAGTTTTGTGACTTTAAAGAAGGGTTTTGGGAGAAAATGTGGAGCGCATGCGCCATCTAGAAGTTTTCCCCCGCGCATCAGTGCTAGGGTTTGCTAGTTTGAGAGAGGAGGCGACGACCAGGCAGGTGACAGAAGGAGAGGGAGTCTGCAACACTCTGCTCTTCAACACACACACACTACCCGGCGGAGGTTATCTCCACGAGCGTACCTTCTCCAAGCAAAACCGCTGATCTCCACGCGAATTCTCCCTCTTACACACACAGTGCTACTGTTTTGAGTTTTTACTCCAGTGGCGAGTTTGGAGTGGATTTTCGGCAATTTGGGTCTTGCACCACTCAAAGTTGGATGTGTTGAACGCACTTTTTGCGGGTAAAGTTTTTGTTACTGAGTAAATCACCCGAGGAGTCCAGGAGAGAGCGGTGTCTTTCTGTGCAGAATGGAGGATGAAATAACGGCCTCAGGTTTGTGGCGAGGAACCCTGCAGTGTGGATGTTACCACAGGTAGAACACGCTCTGAGTTTAAGGTGTCACCGCTGTAGGATCATATCTCTCCCCACCTCTCACCAGTTAATGTGTTTACCTGCGCTTTACACACTAGTGCCAGCCCGTCGGAAGCTCTACAAAGCCTAAGAAACCTCTACAAAGCTGCAAGGAAACTTTGAAGGATAAAGCTACCGCTATCAATCCTCCCAACCATCAAAAGAGCGTCGGCAACAGTTTATTACAGCTGACGTTTCTGGCCACTGGCACTTTTTAGTTGCTTGTGAATGTTTTATTTGTCATGAAGTGTTTCCGCGGATTCACGCCCACGTTTGTTAAAGGCTTTAATTATTAATATCGCTGCTGGACATTGTAAATAACCTCGGTCGTCTCTGCAAGAGCTCTCCTCTCCGCTGTCCCGCGCTCACAGAGCGCATTCGTCGATAACGGATCGCCTATGCCAGTCTTCCGATACTGAGCCACAGGACTACCACGGTTACTGCCACCTTCCTCCATTACACACCGGACACTATCCCGTACAACCCCGATTTAGCACTAACTGCTTTGGATTGCAACCGACCTGAGTCCCCGGTATAGGTAAAAGGACTCTCGAGCCCACTAAGGCCTTGGCACTGGAATTATTCGTTTAATAGTCATCTCCCCAAAGTGGATTATCGTTCGTAAAGCACTGTTTTCCGTGGTGAGTATAGTTTGCTCTCAGTTGATTTTGTTCGTTATCGAATAGTTATTTTGAGATCGGTTAACAACTAAAAAAAACTAAAACCTTTTCCCAAATTATGTCCTCGACTCTTGGCATGCTTAGGACTCATTTTAGTTTAGGAATGATTATCGTTTGTTTGACCGCAGCCTGCAGGCTATCCAAAAGCATTTTTTGTCTTCACCATTATATATATTTTCTCTCCTGAAGCACACTTTTTAAAACTCTTTGTTTGTGCATTGTTAAACTAATGCCACATGTTTTAATTTGTAATGCCACCCTTGCTCTCTCTTCATATATTCTCCTCTCTGCTCCCTCTCCTTCCATCAAAACATAGACTCTGGCTCCCTCCTCTGGCCTTCTAAAACGAGGTGTGTGTGTGTGTGTGTGTGTGTGTGTGTGTGTGTGTGTGTGTGCTGGAAACTGATATGCGTTGATGAATATTAGGTAACACTTAATTCATCAATTTATGTTGACTATAAATGAATAAAAAAGCACAGCATGGCTTGAAGGCGGTTTTTCAGGTATGCACATTTAGTCTACATCTGACATGAACGAAACAATGGACATAAAGTGATTTATTCATTATCCTTCCAAGAATAATCAATAAACAATGTCAAGGACGCTTTTTATAGGAGCATTTATTTGTCTATTAATCTGACGATAAATTATTAACTATCATAGGCCTACGTGTTACACTTTGGCATATTTATTTTCTATACTCAGTTCTTCTCAGAAACAGAAATAGGCTCTATTAAATATTTGAAACGAACTATTTCAATATTTACCGATATTTCGTCTTGTGGCTTTGGCTTAATTTATTCCCCTGTAAATGTGTAGATGGTATTAATTTATTGTATTCGAATATTTCATAGGGGTATCAAAACCACCGCACTTGTTTGTGCTTAAATTGGTTTTAGCCTATAAGATTTTAACATTAATTTAGTCAAAATAACTTGATTAGCTGATATGTAATAGGCTATTTTTTTGTTGCCTGTCCAATTCCATTAATGATTCTCACTGCTCAGGGTGTAGCCGAAGTAAGGCCATTTCCATCATAATTCAATAGCCCTACTCGGTGTGCGCTGACCAAATCGTTAATACCGGGGACTGGTGGTCTGGTCTGAAAGCTTTTTTTATCTGCGTCAGTTGCTTGTTGGGTCAATTCAAGAAGTGAATCGAAATTCCAGTTAAAAAAATACATGACTATTCAAAAATACAATTGAATGAATTGGAATTTCATTCAATTGAAATCCTGAATTGACTAAATGGATGGGTGTCCAGGACCTCAACCCTGGTTGTTGTTATGACCGGTCACGGTTACCGGTTACAGGTTAGCCCTCCCACTGATTCAGCTTTCACGTGCACCCCATTGCTGTCCCTTTTTATCAGTCCGCTCCATGCACCCGTTGGACTGAAGGAAGCCAGCAATATCTGAGACGAGCAGTGGCTATCATTCAGACTAATGTAGGCTATATATTTCCTTTATACAGAAACGTTGTTAAGAAATGATATGATCTGACCGGGCCGGGCATTTTCGCGGCCTATATAAAATTGAAGAATAGATATGGGGACTTTAGCCGCCAACCCGAGAGGCAGTGCGCAAACTGAAAGCACATGTTTGTTTGTGTGTGTGTGAGAGAGAATTTGGAATGACTATTAAACGGCGCAGTCTCAGCGACTCTACTCTGGAAAATACACATCTTGACAAGTTAGCCGTCTCCCAGTCCCAACAGTCACTATAGCCTCTAAAATCACCATGCAGAGATGCCTCTTTATAAACAGCAGGAAAAATTAGAGGCAAATGATTTGGACTGTTATGCCGTTACCTTCTCATTACATTTGTACATTTGAGTCATTTAGCAGACGCTCTTATCCAGAGCGACTTACAGTTAGTGAGTGCATACATTTTTCATACTCATTATAATCAGAACAGCAGAAATTCAAATTATTCCAAAAACGTAATTGGATTTATTTTACAGGTCAATAATAGGCTCATACTTCTTAAATTATGCAAACTCGTTTGCAAATTTCGCATTAAAATCACGATTTTCAAAAGTAATTTCCAGTTAATAAAATCTCAACTTCACCTGGACATCGACACTGTAACCTACCATCCATTAAGTAGCTGGTTGTTGGCCTGCACGTATCGCTTCAAAGCGTCTGCCATACTAATAAGAAATAACTTTTTCTAAATGTCAATTGATTTCACACTATATGTTTTTTAAATATGTTAATTTAGGTTTTCATATTGTCATTATTTCAAATTTAGTAGCCTTCCAATTCCACATTTAATCTTATTTTTATTTATATATATATACCGCACTTGTTTGTGAACTACACATTTATAAACTTCATGAAGATTGGAGATTAAATATTTAATCTCCAAATGCATTCTGCGCATTTTTAGGTTCAAATGATGGGTTATTCCATGGTGAACACTTGTTATTAGGACGATTTGTGTTAGAATAACTTACTTACAAAATCATCACGTAACGAATAAAATATTAATAGCAAAAAATGCATTCATTTGGATGTAAAAGTGTTAATTTTCAAACTCACAGAAAAATCGTTTTGGGGAATAGGACAGTGTGTGACTGGGTCACGAACGAATAAATAGCCTAATGTGTAGGCTTACATTAAATTGTGGACAGTTTTGTGATTATTTCGTATAATTTAAAATGATCCTAAAATAGTATTTGTTAAACAAAGATTATGCAATATGTTATATTTATGTTATATAATAACATAAGTAATAGTTGACAACTTCCACATAACTCAATAAATAGCTTATAATTGTCTTGTAATTGATTTAATCAACAGGCTAGCCTAAGCCTAATACACCTTAAACAATAATTTCACATCGTCATGAATTGAAATAGATCTAGTGATTGGTCAAATGCGAAAGCATTATTTAGGCTAAACGCGACCTGGAAAAACTTGTCCTGAACAGAGTGAGATAGATAGGCTTAGAGGACATTCATCAATGGCCTATGATCCTTTAAGGAGATACCCACTTAAGAAACATAATATAAAAAGACATTTAGAGCTTCTGTAGTAATGTGTGTATTTTTATCTTATATGTTTTTAACTGCACGTTACATGTCAATTTACGTGCATCACTGTGCTGCAGTTGAACAGAGGGGGTCTCTCTCTCTCTCTCCTCCTTGTCTGATTGGTGCAGGAGAAGAATGCTCTTATCGTGGGTATAGTGAACTGACTGGTAGGAATGTCTGTCTGCTGGTTGAAGGGGGTTTGAAGGCCATTGTTATTCTGTCTGTCTTCTGTGATTCACACACTCACCTGCTGCCAGAGGACTGCTCTGCTGCAAGCACCGATGGCCCCAGGCCTCTCCACACAGACAGACAGACAGACAGACAGACAGACAGACAGACAGACAGACAGACACAGACACACACATACAGACACACAGACACACAGACAGAGGGAGAGCAACAGAACCCTCATCATTCATTTTTCTTTATCTCTGTGACAGTCACATACCATACACAGCATTTTGGAACTCCCTCTTAACCCCTTCACGGTCTGGCTGTGGAGACAGATGGACTTAGACAGACAGGATATGTGTACAGTCCTCTGTTCCGTCATCCATGGGTCCCCTGTAGCTCAGTTGGTAGAGCATGGCGCTTGCAACGCCAGGGTTGTGGGTTCGTTTACCACGGGGGGCCAGTATGAAAAATTTATGCACTCACTAACTGTAAGTCGCTCTGGATAAGAGCGTCTGCTAAATGACTAAAATGTAAATGTAAAAATGTATGAGCGTGTATGCGGACTGGCTGTCGGTGGTGTGTGTGTATGCGGACTGGCTGTCGTGGTGTGTGTGTATGCGGACTGGCTGTCGGTGGTGTGTGTGTATGTGGACTGGCTGTCGGTGGTGTGTGTGTATGCGGACTGGCTGTCGGTGGTGTGTGTGTATGCGGACTGGCTGTCGGTGGTGTGTGTGTATGCGGACTGGCTGTCGGTGGTGTGTGTGCCTGTCTGACCTGTGTACTGCCGTCTCTCCTCAGAGCTGTTCCGGTAACTGATCCAGTATGTTGTTCCTGCGGCGGCTGGTGCATGTGTGCTGTCCCTCGGCACCGGCGGGGAGTGTGTTGGACTCCAGACACTGTGTGTTCGCCCTCACACTCCTCACACTACTCCTGCAGGTGGTGGTGGAGGCCAATTCATGGTGGTATGTACACTTTTAATACACTTTACATACGCTCTACTCTCAATGTGTTGCGTGTGTGTGTTGTGTGTGCACATCTGCATGGCCAGAGAGGTGGCTATGCCATTGGATCCCCCAACCCCCCCCCTCTCTGAGTGTGAGACAGGGCCGCTCCGATCCCACCACATGATACAACATGCTGACTCTAGCACATAAGCCTTTTAGATATACTCATTTCTTTCTCTCCTATTTTCTTTCTCCATGTATTGCCAAACCAAAATTATGAATATTCTATAAAACAGAATGCTGTGGTTTTTGGGTACATATCCAAATATGTGCAGACACGAACTCCGTAGAAGTGACTTTCTCGCTCTCTGTGCGTGTGTGTGTGATAGTGTGTGTGCGTTTGTGTCTGCCAATAGGAGAGAAGTCTAAATGTGAACATGCAAATGATAGACAGAGATAATAGATTTGATACACAGGGGAAAACAGTGTTTACACATCACCATAGGAGCACTGCTCAAATCAGATCACATTTTGATCCTGTTAGTGTCTGTCTGTATTTGCATGAGGTTGTATGCTGTGTGTATTTGTGCCGAGTGGAAATTGTCTTTTTTACAGACATGTTTTCTACTTGTTTATAGGAAACTAGAACAAACAGTACACCAAAAACACTTTAGAGAGAATACTGCAGTAATGAGCTGTACTGATGTCATTAGGAATAAAGGAATCCATAGCCTTTTCAAACACATCCTTCAAGTTGTATTAGTTGATCTCTTGTTTCTCTATATAGTTGACTAAAGCAATGGCAAGGGACATTCCATTGTGATCTTCCATGGATTATGTCTCTTCATATGATTTAGTATGGACACACACATAATTACACTACCACAGACACACACTACCACAGACACACACTACCACAGACACACACATTATCACGCACAAAAATACTTACTGTAGACACATTGCTGAGGTGTGTGTGGTTTGTGCCTTTCCGATCCCTCCAGTAAAAGACACGCAGGTGCAAATGATTTACTGTGTCCGAGCGAATGAGGCCTGTGAGGGGTGTGTGTGTGTGGGGGTTGTGTGTGTGTGTGGGGGTTGTGTGTGTGTGTGGGGGTTGTGTGTGTGTGGGGGGGTTGTGTGTTTTCCCTCCCTCCCTGGCTGCTCTCCTCAGTAGATCCGGTTACAGTGGAGGCTAATTGTGCTGCTCTGGGGGGTTAGGATGGGCTGCTCTAAGTGTGTGTGTAAAAGGCTGGTTTAATTGTTGTGATGATGATGATAGGTTCGCTCTGTGCAGGTCTGTGACCAATAACTAAATGTCCATATGCATACATCATCAATACCCAGCCTCTGTGTCCTGTCTCTATTAGAAAAGTGTTTTGCTCTCTCTTCCTCTCCCTCTGTCCAGGTCTCTAGCCATGAACCCTCTGCTGATCCCCGAGGCATACATCATCGGTGCCCAGCCTCTGTGCAGCCAGCTAGTGGGTCTATCCCAGGGCCAGAAGAAGCTGTGCCAGCTCTACCAGGACCACATGCAGTACATCGGCGAGGGCGCCAAGACGGGCATCAGGGAGTGCCAGTACCAGTTCAGACACCGGCGGTGGAACTGCAGCACCGTGGACAACTCCTCCGTGTTCGGACGGGTCATGCAGATAGGTAAGGCTTTAGCTCAGTGGGTTAACGTGGTCTTCAGTCACAGGGATATTTTTGATACACTCCTACATTATGCTATCCTAGTCCAGTCTGTTGTATTGTACTTTGCATGTGAAAGAGGTTGAGTAGAAGTGGTGGCTCAACAGAGGAATTGGAGTTGATGTGTGACCACTGATTAGTTATGGGCTGTGTGCTTCTCTAACTCTGAGTATGCGCACTCTCCTTCTCCACTTCCCCTCTCTCCTACTAGACCAGAGGAGGGTATGGAGGTCCCCTCCTCTCCTGTTGTAATCCATGGGGTGATGTTGAGCAGCTGTGCTGGGGGAATAGTTTGTGGGTGAGGTCTCGTTATAATTTCACATGTGGCCTGGGGCTCCATGGCCAGAGGCTGACACTCACAATGGGGATGAATTGCATTCAGCCACGATGCATCTTAAACACACGCATGCATCCACACAAAAACACACATTTTTTCTCTGTATTATTTACAGAGTTAAAGCGCATTCCTGTGTCTGTGTGAGCTAGTCTTTCACCCCTCATAGAACCCAGAGGTAGACGGTATCAATCCCAGCTCCAGATCCTGTCTCTTTGATGAGTGTTTGTTTTAGTGTTTGACTTCGCCACAGGAGCCCATGTTGAGGTGGTTTACTGCAGGCATTTATTGTTCATAATTGTCACATTTAATTTAAACCAAAGCATTTCTCATGCTGTTCATCCTAGCATTGTGATAATGCTGTGGTTTGAGCATCTGTACGTTTCAAACACGCGAGAGAAGAAATGAGAGGACAGGATCTGGATGAGCCTAAACTATTATACGATAACCATTATCAACTCCAATGTTCTGTCCCTCTTGCTCTCTCTGTCTCTCTCTCTCTGTCTGTGTCTCTCTGTCCCTCTTTCTCTGTCTCTGTCTCTGTGTCTCTCTTTGTGTCTCTCTCTCTCTCTCTGTGTCTCTCTCTGTCTCTCTCTCTGTGTGTGTCTCTCTCTGTCTCTCTCTCTCTCTGTATATATATCTCTCTCTCTGTGTCTCTCTCTCTCTCTGTCTCTTTGTCTCTCTCTGTGTCTCTGTCTCTGTCTCTGTGTGTGTGACTCCTCCCTGTGAATACTTTTGAGCTGAGCCTGCTTTTGTCTCAGTCCCACCACTGTTCTGAGATCACATTTTACAGATATATCTTCATAGAAAAGACATCAATGGGAGGACAGCTTCTTTCTTTCTCTTCTCTCTCCATCTCTCTCTTTGTCTCCCTCTCTCCATCTCTCTCTTTGTCTCCCTCTCTCCATCAAGGGGAGGACAGGGCTCCCATCTCGGTCCACTCTGGGCCAAGTAAACATGTCCTCCCCAGTCTGTCTGACTGTTCAGTGCTGCTGATTTAAGGCTGAGCTCCAGGGTAGGGGAGTCAACTTCTCTCCCCTGCCCGTGTTTGCTGCCCCTGGGGCAGGGTGGACCAGGCCACTGGCTGGGGAGAGGGAGGGTTCTGTGGAGGATAGAGGTATGGTCACGAATAGGGAGAGAGAGAACGGTAGATCGAGAGGACAGCTTGTCTGTCGACAGCTCTGCTATTAGGCCAATCTCCTGCACCGGGTTTGAAGTTGTAGAAAACTAATAACCTTTTTCCCCCTTGGCCGGACCAATGACCGACCGAGACGTCCATCTGGACAGATTCATTTCACTACCCTATACCCCCTCATCTCATTTCCCTCTCCTCTCATTCTCTCTCTCTCCTTCTTCTGTATATATATCTATATATCTATCTCTCTCTCCTCTCTCTCTATCGATACTCTCTCTCATATCTCTCTGCTCTAATACACTGCTTATCTCTATCTACTCTCGCTCTCTCTCTCTCTCATCCCTGCTCTCTCTCTCTCTCTCATCCCTGCTCTCTCTTAGCCTGGTATTGTCATTACAATATGCTTCCTAGGGATTTAGTGTTTTTATTTTGTGTCCATTTCCAACTCCTAGATAAGCACTGAGACTTGTGCTTTAGATGTCTCTTTTCTTTCTCTATGCATCTCTTTCTCACACTCACCCCAATACTGTAAACTGAAGAGTGGCTGTCTGTATTGGAAGGTTAACAGTGAGTGTCTGAGAGATGTAGGCAGTGATGTGATGGAGCCAGTTTGCTCCGTTGGCATGTCGTACAGGGGAAATTACTGGTTTGAAACATTGCTTTGGTTTGGCAGCTGCCACTGGAGGGTGCTCTGGTCTTATTGGCTAACTCCCAACAACTATCAATGTCCTGAATGCAACTGCCTGTAACTAGAGGCAGGCCAACTATAAATGTCCTGAAGGATGGAGGCAGAGAGGCAGGACCATTCTACTGTTGGAGGCCTGGTCAGATGAGCCCTGTATATCCAGAAGTGAACATGGTCGTTCTACTCCATATTGTTGACTCATGTTAATGCTCCATGAAGTGCTGTTTCTGGCCAGGCTGGACTCTACTACAATGACTCACAACGTTGACCTTTTTTCAATGACTCATTTCTTCTTTTTTTAGACTTTGACTCATTATCATTTCAAATTCAATCTATCACCAGGTCTGTCATATATTAATGTTGTTCTTCTGTCGGCCCGTCTGTCTTTCTGTCCACAGGAAGCAGAGAAACAGCGTTTACGTATGCCATCAGCGCGGCAGGGGTGGTCAACGCAGTGAGCAGGGCCTGCAGAGAAGGGGAGCTGTCGAGCTGCGGCTGCAGCCGCGCTGCACGTCCCAAAGACCTGCCTCGTGATTGGCTGTGGGGCGGCTGCGGGGACAACCTGAACTATGGCTACAGGTTCTCTAAAGAGTTTGTTGACGCGCGGGAGCGGGAGAAGAGCTACGCCAAGGGATCCTTCGAGAGTGCCCGGCTGATGATGAACCTACACAATAACGAGGCTGGACGGAGGGTGAGGAGGAATAACACTCTGTCACACAAACCCTAACTAAATGAAGCACTGGGCCTGCATACTTATTCTAATGTCACACACACACACACACACTCAAAGGAGGAAAACAAGTTCATCTCCACCTGTTTCAGCTGTCCTGAAGTTGATTCGTAATGACATTTAGTGAGGGAATGGAAGACTGAGAGGGTGAGAGGGAGTGAGAGAGAGCGAGAGAATCCAGGTCAATCAGATGGGCATAGGACTATTATTTGATCATCTGTGTAACAGCTCTGTCTCATCTCTCCTCTGAAGCCTGTCTTTGATCTGGGTAAGATGGGATCATGACGGCTGGCTGAGCTGCTTTCTGTAGTTCATTCCAAATGCCCTGACACAGCCTCAAAGGAAACGGCTTGCCAGACCGTGTTGCTTTCACATCTCTTCTGACTCGTACAAATGAGCGGACAGGGTTTTGTTCGGCTGACAGTGTGGGCCATAGAGGGCATCATGTAGTTCTCCCTAATGACATAACGTCTTTGAAGATCTGATGCATGATACATGCACATTCACACATGTATGCATACAATAAAGCATGTGTAGAGTATTACAATTTTTAGATGAAATTTATCTGTTCTCTGCTTTCTCTTAGTCCTGTGTAGTCTCTCTAGTTGGTGATAATAATCAATCTGTCCCTCTCTCCCTCTCCCCCTCCTCCTCTCCTCTCAGACGGTGTCGGACCTGGCCCATGTCTCCTGTAAGTGCCATGGCGTGTCGGGCTCCTGCAGTCTGAAGACGTGCTGGCTGCAGCTGGCAGACTTCCGCAAGGTGGGCGAGACCCTGAAGGAGAAGTACGACAGCGCAGCCTCCATGAAGCTCAACTCGCGTGGCAAGCTGGTGCAGCGAGACAGCAAGTTCAACCCCCCCACCAGCCATGACCTGGTCTACATCGAGTCCAGCCCAGACTACTGCCTGTCCAACCAGAGCACAGGCTCCCTGGGTACTGTAGGCAGGCTGTGCAATAAGACGTCGGAGGGCATGGATGGCTGTGAGCTGATGTGCTGCGGCCGGGGCTACGACCAGTACAAGGCCCAGATCGTGGAGCGATGCCACTGCAAGTTCCACTGGTGCTGCTACGTCAAGTGCAAGCGCTGCACCAAAACCGTGGACCAGTTCGTCTGCAAGTGAGGAGGAGGAGGAGATGAAGAGTGTGTGTTCGTGCAAGTGTGCATGCGTGTGTGTATCCAGAGAGGCGGAACGAAGGAGGCGAAGAGAGCAAGAGGAAGAAAGAAAAAGAAAAAAACTATATAAATTATATTTATAGAGTTAAACAATTATACCATTGCAAAAGACTGATACTTTCTTTTCCATGTAATAGTTCAAAAAATGTAATGCCTTCCGAAACTGAAAATATGGTGAAATATTTATTTTCTGAGATTGTTTTTGCCCGATCATCCAAAGCTAATTTTTAATTAATCCCCAGGCCTGGAGACCAGCAGCCATTCTTTTTTAAACTCTAAATATGACCCATAACAGGGCTCCCCAATAGGTGGCTCCCCAATAGGTGTCTCCCCAATAGGTGGTTCCCCACAGGTGATTTTAGTAGCCCCCCCCCCAAGTTTTCTGAGCAAATAAAAAGACAAATTATAATTTCGTTGTTGAATTTAAGACTAAAATCACAGGGAAATCAGCTCAAAGTGATTTTTAATTTAGGAAATCTGTTCCCAAGTATTCCAACACATAAATAGAGAGACAAATGTGATTGCATCCCAATGTAATCAAGTTTTGAAATGATTCTGTTTTTGCCAAATACTGTATCTGTTTTGGATTCTTACAGTCAATTTGCAGTGTACAAATTATTTATAACTATGTCTGCCCCCTCGACCATCCGCTCAAGGAAAAATCGGCCCACGGCTGAATGTAATTGGGGACCCCAGTCCTATAGCTTATATTTGGCTAGTCCAATGGGTCACCATGACTGTGAAATGGGAGCTTCTCTCCTGTTTCATAACCCTAGATTAGTTAAATGTTGTGCTTGATGGAGAACGCTGAATGCCCACAGTCTTAGCTGTTGAATCTGGGGCTGCCGGTAAGAGGTGAATGTTTACTTCCATGTTTTTGTCACTATAGGGTGGTTAGACCTAAATCAAGCCTCCACTGGACATTCTTAAATCTGGTTCTATAGGTACTCATGGACCCCATCCTAAACCTTAGCCCTAGTCCCTTAAATTGCCTCTGTCTAAATCAAACAAGGGCCTAGGAAAGTGGGAATGTTTTGGGTTGGGGTTAGTTCCATCCTGGAAGGTATCCCACAAGGCCTAGTTCTTCCCAGGTGCCCCAGCTAGTCCTCCCAAACACATTCAGCATATGCACTTTGACCCTGAGGCCTTAGCCCATTTGCATGATTTGTTTGTTTTGAACTACAGTGCATTGTCTGTAATATACCATATTATAGTCTACTTTCTCCATATTAAAACAGATATCCACTTAACATATAAGATGCTACTTTCAATGTTTAAATATACAGTAGATGAGCAATGTTGTGGTTATGATGGTGAAATCCCACATGTTCTATAAGGTATATGGTAGGTCTAACCAACCAATCACTTATTAAATTGTATGTATTTATTTTATTTTATCCAGATTTCTTTTAAGCTTCCAGATAGCGCTGTGGGTTTTTTCTATTTCAGTCAATGCATTTAAATCCTACACTTTGTTACATACAATATTTTCAGGTCACTTATCATTTGTTTTCACATTTAAGGATATGTTACACATGAATTTGGTTCCGCAGCGTTGTTTTTGTAAAGGGAAATGCCCCTTGTTCTAAAACACCCGTTCATTGTGTTACCCATGTCCAAGCCTTCACAGATGATTCATTAGCCTTCACTTGTTGCCACAAACTTCTTAATATCCCTCAGTCCTCCACACTATCCCTGTGATCATCTTCATTAAAAACATCGTTGCTATATGTTATATCAATCCAAACTGTATATTTATTCACTTCTCAATTAATTGAGGTTTGCAAAACGTATTTCTTATAGCTGTTATTTTGTTACTTTCTTTGTTTCAATAAATATTCTACGTAAACCTGCTGAACAGTTGTAACTTTCAATACACATCTACTCTGGTATAGTTAGTAGTTTATAGTTTTATAGTTATTATAGTTAGTAGATAGTTTGGTTAAATTCAACTCCACATTTGAAACTAAGATTGTAATTAGCCCCCCCTCCCCTCCTTACAACATTTAGAATATTATGTATATTTCCCACTATCCTGGTGCTCGGAGAGAAATCGACTGTTATTTGTTCTTGTGTGTGTACAGAATTTAATGTAGGGAAGATTTTGTCTGTATTTGTATATTTTATTCTGAACTATGAATTGTCTACTTTTGACGGAGTAGGATACATTGATTCTAAAAGTTAATAATATGATCAAATCAAACATGTCATTAAATAAATGTATCTGGAACCTCCATTAGGAGTTTGATTCCTGGAATCACTCAGTTGACCCCTAACTGTCAGAGGCAGTAGGAGCTGAGAGAGAGAGAGTTGTTAGGGAGAGGAGAGAGGCTGAGGGAGAGCGGAGAAAGGGCTGAGAGAGCAGGGGAGGGAGGGCAGGCAGAGGAGTTGTCTGTCAGTGAAGGGTTGATCCATAGAGTCCAAGAGCATCATAGATCTGTCCACAGAGGGCCAGGGATGGGTCAGTCTGGGAGGGAGATACATGCCTGGGCTATTGAGACTGGGAGAGTGGAGGGAGGAGAGGAGGACAGGATGGGAATGCGGGGTAGGGGAGAAGAGAGGAGAGGGCGTGCTTTACAGGGATTTGAAGCAGTTGAACTAGTGCCATTGCAATGTTAACGGCCCTGACACTGACTAATATTTACACTGGTAAAATGATCGACTTTAGGATCACATCCCATATGTGAACCCATCAATTGGCCCCCTGTGTGTGTGTGTGTGCGCGCCCGCTTGAAGATCTGTGGCACTGGCACAATGTGTTACGGCATGTTTACATTTCTGATTGGTGTCATAAAGGCCAACGAGTGAGGGAGGGAGGGAAGGAAGGCGAAAGAATGGATGGAGGGAAAGTATTACTGTAAAGAGAGCTCCAGAGAGGCTGAGGCCAGATAGAATTTTTCCATCTTTGACCCCCTTTCAACACCATGGTTTATATATGAAATCAGACTACAACACTGGACTCCTTATGCATGACTGTCAGATAACAGCAACCACAGTAGGATTCCTGACTGGGAGCCCAAACACACACACACACACACACACACACACACACACACACACACACACACACACACACACACACACACACACACACACACACACACACACACACACACACACAGGTGCATAGTGGATAGACACACTCATGAAATCTGAACCCCACAGGTGTACAGCTGTCCAACAGGCCCCTATACTCACACATACACACCTGGGGTCTCTAGTCAGTCCATAGGACTCCAGTGTTGTCTATCCTTCTATATTTATTTTTCCACAATGACACAGATTATGGTTGCTTCGTCACAGTCACCCCCTCAAACTCAACTCTGGACCTCGAAGCCAGTTCCCTCTAATCAGGGACTGCTTTAGGGTGGGTGCAATTCATTATCAGGTAGAACAGACAACCAGCAGGCTCTGGACCTCGTAGGGTAAGAGTTGAATACCCCTGCTCCAGAGTCTAGAGAGAGAGGGGGTGTATACAGAGAGTACATATAGTAGCAATGAACTTCCTAGGTAGATATACAGGGCTGGGTGTTAATATGATTTGGTTGATATTTTAAAAAACAGCAAGAGCCCTATTCAGACCTCTCCTCTCCTCTTCTCACCACTCCACTCCACTCCACTCCACTCCACTCCACTCCACTCCACCCCTCCCCCCTCCCCCTCTCCCCTCCCCTCCCCTCCCCTCCACCCCTCCTCTCCACTCTTCCTCTCCTCCCCACTCCCCTCCCCACCTCCCCTCTCCTCTACTCTCCCCTCCCTCTGTATCTCTCTATCAGTCGATGTATTCGTCTCCCATTTCCAGATGATACGGGTGTGTGTAAATGTTTCCCTATCTTTCTGCCGCTGGTGAAAGTGAGATAAGGAGTGCAGCGGGCTACACACAGGCTTTAAAGAGTTCACAGCAAGAGCACTTCCCCTACTTCACACAGCCTATGGGCGGCATACACACACACACACACACACACACACACACACACACACCACACACACACACTCCTGGTCTGATCTACTGTGATAGAAGGACATGCAGGTTAGACACTGATCTGTCTTTGATGTCTGCTGCGTACTGTTTATCTAAGAACAAGAACAGCCTCACATCTAACATTTAGCGTCTAACATTTTACATCTAACATCTAACATCTCACATCTTCAGTAACATCTAACAAATCTCACATCTACGGTAACATCTAGAGTAACATCTCACATCTAACATCTCTTTCTTTGCCTTATCTCTCTCTTGCTATAATTCTGTCTATCTTCTTTATCTCTATCGTCTATTAATATTATATCTATATATAGCTATATATCTCTCTCCTATCTCTCTCTCGTCTCATCTCTCTCTCTCCTCTCTCTCTCTCTCTCTCTTCTCTCTCTCTCATCTCTCTATCTCTCTTCTCTCCTCTCTCTCTCTCTCCTCTCTCTCTATCTGCTGGTCTGTGCTTCATTAGAGCCTGTACTAATCATCACTGAATCTGTTTTACACTGATTCCCACTGTAGCTCCATTCATGCCAGAGGCGTTTGTGTTTTACAGTTGAAATGTGTGTGTGTGTGTGTGTGTGTGTGTGTGTGTGTGTGTGTGTGTGTTTAACGGCTGCAGTGTTGCGTACAGTATGACGATAGAGCAGGCCTAGGGAAACAGAGAGCAGAGCTCTGGTGATGCTCACAGCCTTTCATGTGGTTTCCATCCGTTCTGCTTTAGTCTGATTAACATTCCACCGAGGTTCTTAAACATAATTACATGACAAGTTGTGCTTTTCTAAAACAATGCAGCTGGCTAATGTTAGGCAATCTCCTTCTAGTCCTGTGTTTGCTATTCTGGTGAGACACACACGCACACACCCACACATTAACACACCAACACACACAAACCCACACACACACAACCCACATAGGAAACAACACACACACGCACATCCCACCAGCACACCACACCCACACAACCCACAATAACACACACCACACACACACCCACCCACGCACACACACCCACACATTAACACACAACACACACACGCACATCCACACACACGCACACACACCACACACACACCCAACATTAACCACCGCACACACACCCAACCACACAACACACACATAACACCACACACACAACACACAACACACACACACACACACACACACACACACACACCACACACACCACACAACAGGAACAACACACACGCACACCACACCCACACACACACCCACAAATTAACACACACACACACACACACACACACACACACACACACACACACACACACCCACACATTAACACACACACCACACACACACCCACACATAACCACACACCACACACACACACACACACACACACACACACACACACACACACACACACACACACACACACACACAC